AAATGGGCTTCACACATTGTGCCCATGTGGGGAATCGAACCCGGGTCTTCGGCCGTGACGAGCGATCGCTTTAACCACAAGGCTACCCCACCACCCCAGCTTGACATTGGAGAAAGGTCAGGATTACCAGAAAGCAATTAGGCAATCTTGAAAGATAGCATCTGAAAAGTGATGACAGTTCATGGTGTTTCTGTACAAAACTAGGAGAATATATATGTTCAGTGCCATGCTGAACAGGTGCCATTGGATAGTTATAGTGTTCTGATTTCTGTGCCAATCGCCATGCTTTCATGCAAGACATGTTGTGTGGGACACCAGAAATGGGCTTCACACATTGTACCCATGTGGGGAATTGAACCCGGGTCTTCAGCATGGCAAGCGAACATTTTAATCACTAGTCTACCCCACCGCCCCCATACAGCAAGAATGTGGAAATAAACTTTAGTCAAAGAGATGGTATGAGAACTCAGACTGGAGTCCTGAGCTGTCTGCACCTGGTAAGGAGACTAAGTATGCATGCTACAGATGGGGTAGGCATGCAGGTATTGGCACTATTAGCACGGAGGACTGATAGACATGTCTAATGAAGAAGGAAAGAGTGATAGAGACACTCAATAAGTTCCTTAGCAGATATAATTGCTTTGCTAAAATGTTTGCTGTTCTGTTGCCAGTAGCCATGAGCACAATACACCACAGCATATACCAATGAACTGCTGCAATTAGCTCTGCAATTTATGGGCTCAATTACTGTGTTTGAAGTTGGTGATGGCCTTGTTCTGATGATGAATGGGAGCCTGGCAGCCTGGCAGCCTGGCAGCCTATCTCAGCAGGATGGGGAAGATAAAGGGCAAGCTGGGCATTCACTGTCGACAGTATTGTATAAGTGTTTGGTTTGTCCACAGTTCAGGATCCAGTCATCTACTTTTGTGAGTTGTGCACCATGGTGAGCTGTCCACTGTGGTGTGTTGTCCACCATGGTGAGATGTCCACTGTGGTGTGATGTCCACCATGGTGAGCTGTCCACTGTGGTGGGTTGTCCACCATGGTGAGCTGCCCATTGTGATGTGTTGTCGACCATGGTGAGCTGTCCACTGCCCATTGGTGTGGTGAGTTGTGGGTGTTGTCCACCATGGTGAGCTGTCCATTGTGGTGTGTTGTCCACCATGGTGAGCTGCCCATTGTGGTGTGTTGTCCACCATGGTGAGCTGTCCACTGTGGTGTGTCCACCTGGTGAGCTGCCCATTGTGGGGTGTTGTCCACCATGGTGAGCTGTCCACTGTGGTGTGTTGTCCACCATGGTGAGCTGTCCACTGTGGTGTGTTGTCCACCATGGTGAGCTGTCCACTGTGGTGAGTTGTCCACCATGGTGAGCTGCCTATTGAGATGTGTTGTCCACCATGGTGAGCTGTCCACTATGGTGTGTTGTCCACCATGGTGAGCTGCCCATTGTGGTGTGATGTCCACCATGGTGAGCTGCCCATTGTGGTGTGTTGTCCACCATGGTGAGCTGCCCATTGTGGGGTGTTGTCCACCATGGTGAGCTGTCCACTGTGGTGTGTTGTCCACCATGGTGAGCTGCCTATTGAGATGTGTTGTCCACCATGGTGAGCTGTCCACTATGGTGTGTTGTCCACCATGGTGAGCTGCCCATTGTGGTGTGATGTCCACCATGGTGAGCTGCCCATTGTGGTGTGATGCCCATTGTGGTGTGATGTCCACCATGGTGAGCTGCCCATTGTGGTGTGTTGTCCAAGATGGTGAGCTGTCCACTGTGGTGAGTTGTCCACCATGGTGAGCTGCCTATTGAGATGTGTTGTCCACCATGGTGAGCTGTCCACTATGGTGTGTTGTCCACCATGGTGAGCTGCCCATTGTGGTGTGATGTCCACCATGGTGAGCTGCCCACTGTGGGGTGTTGTCCACCATGGTGAGCTGCCCACTGTGGGGTGTTGTCCACCATGGTGAGCTGTCCACTGTGGTGTGTTGTCCACCATGGTGAGTTGCCCACTGTGGTGTGTTGTCCACCATGGTGAGTTGCCCACTGTCATGTGTTGTCCACCATGGTGAGCTGCCCTTTGTGCGGTGTTGTCCACCATGGTGAGCTGCCCATTGTGTTGAGTTGTCCACCATGGTGCCCATTGTGGTGAGTTGTCCACCATGGTGAGCTGCCCATTGTGGTGAGTTGTCCGCCATGATAAGCTGTCCATCATTGTGAATAATGCATGGCAGTGAGTTTTCCAACAAGGTGAGTTTGTCCACCATCTTGAGGTTTGTTCACTATGATGAGTCATCCACAGTCGTGAATTGTCCACCTGTGTGAGTTGTCCACTGTCATGAGCTGCCCAGTGTGGTGAGTTGTCTTTCATGGTGAGCTGCAAACCATGGTAAGTGGTTTATCGTGGTACCCACTGTGATGAGTTCCCATCCTAGTTAGTCGTCCACCATAGTGAGTTATCCACATCATGCAATAATGTTTTTCACTACTGACAGAAGTATGATTATGTTCAAGAAGCGGCGCCAATCTTGACACAGAACCTGCCCTGCAAAACTAATCATATGCTGTTACTATTTACAGTTTTTTATTCCTTTCCAATTACCCACATTTTTTAAGCTTCCATTCCTTCACAGTGTGTGTGCTGAATATCGTGGGCATTAAGTAAGATATTGTACATGCTAGAACAGCCTTTATTACAGTGACCTTTCCTTGTGCATGTATATCACAAAGTAGGGACATACGACTTATATTGCCAGTCAAGTTCAAATATTCTCACATTGTAGTATCGACCAAAATAGCTCTTTCTGAAAGGATCTGGCATAATGTCAGGAATTTGATATGGGAAGGCGTTTGTTGTAAACAGAACATTTGTAACAATATATGACAGATTTACATTACCATGATCGTTTTATCTAAAAGCAATTGTAGAAGGATTGCTTTCTTTAAGGGCCAGCTTTCTTTAAGGGCCAGCTTTCATGCCAGACACACTCTTTGAAAAAACATCAAGGTAAATTACGGTCACAATATAAAATGATTGAAGTCGACACCTTACAAGTAGTTCTGCCTTTGAAAAGAAATGAGGTTATGTTTAGGAAAAGATTATTGATTTTCGGAGATTTAGATAGGTTACTTAATGGACAAGTCTTTTATGAAAACAGAAAACCTGATTGTTCAGTGCCAGAGGATCCTAGAATATTCTCAGGCACCGATGAAAATGCATGTCTTTGGTTGGGTGAGGTGAGGTGAAATTGGGTTTTACGTCGTGCTTGAGAATATTTCGCTCATAAGACGACGTGCATGCGAGTGTATGTGTTTGTGTATGTGCGGCTGCTTGTACTAGCCCAGACGTAAGCTGGTTTTATAGTGCTAGCCCACTGAGATACCATGCCGCAGTGAAGCATGAATACCCCACTCAGACACATTATACTGACTCCGAGCCGACCAGTCCTTGTTGTACCCATTAATGCCGAGCACCAGACAGGGACCAACAAGTGCGATATTTTAGCGTCTTTTGGTATGACGCGGTCTGGAATCGAACCCGCGACCTTCCGCTCTCCGGGCGGACGCTCTAACCACCACACCACGGAGGCGGTCTGTCTTTGGTTGGAGGAATTAGGTTGTTGTTGTGTTATTATGAAGTATAGGGTCATCACTGTGGCAGCAGAAAAGAGTGGGTTAGTTGGTCCTGGTGATGGCAGAAGACACTTGAAGTGCACTTTGTACACATGTTCACAAACACATGTTCTTCAGCATGACGAGGAAACACTCCACCCATTAGGCTAACCTTCTTCTGTTGTGGTTTCTCTACTTCCAGTGACGCCCTGGTGAACATGATTTCACACTGCTGGTCAGGGGTTCAAATTGTTTTTAAAAAGTCACTTGCCACAGGGCAAGTGACTTTAAGAAAGTAACTTGTCCTGACTAATTTTCCACTTGCCCTGATTTTATGACATAATCATGATGATGTAATTATGAAGAATAAATCACCATGGTATTTGATGTTAATGTTTACTGGACTATTTATTGAAGAGTGATAAGTAGCAAAGAAGGATAACTCTACTAGCTCTACTAGATAATTTACTAGCTACATTTTGAGCAGATATGAAATTAAATCCAAGTTTATTTGCAGTTTGAAACCATAAGTGGAAATTATCTACTAGCCCACGGACAAGTAAGATACCATTATTTGATTGCCCGAAATGAAACCTGACTTGTCCTGGGCGTCGGGGATGGGATTTTTGAACCCCTGCTGGTGTCAATATTATGGCAATATCATGGTGGGGACAATCATGGTTTTCACACATGTGCCTGTGTGGAGAACACCCACAATGATGTCGAAGTTACTACGCTTGGTTCAGTGGGATTGGTTGTGTTGGCTTACGATTCACTCAACATATTAGTTTGGGCTGGTTGTTATAACAGCTGCACTAGACACCCACAGGGCCTGTGGTTAGGACACCTGTACTAGACACCCACAGGGCCTGTGGTTAGGACATGTACAGTAGACACCCATGTGTCCTGTGGTTAGGATATCTACAGTAGACACCCATGGGGCCTGTGGTTAGGATATCTACAGTAGACACCCATGGGGCCTGTGGTTAGGATATCTACACTAGACACCCATGTAACGAATCTAAATAGATTGATCATTAAAAAATATTTAGGAATTTCATTCACATTAGTAATATCATCATGTTTTTAACCCAAACATCTGAAACTTCTATTCATTTGGATACAAGGTAACAATAACGTTACAAGATATTGTTTTTCCGCCTTAAAACGTAACATGCAAGTTGCTGCCGTGTGTAGAGTGAAGTTGCATAATACGTCACGTCCTGTTATATTTTTAGCACGGAAAATATGCAAATGATCTTATAGTTGTCGCAGGATTACTCTTGACGAAGTAAGTTTTGATTCATGCTAGATGTAATGGCAGTAGGGGTCATACTAGTTTCAAAATGTTCTAGAACTTACTGAAAAGATGAATGCTTTGATATTTCTACGATTAGACATGACATTCCAATGAAATAGATGACTTTTTCAAGAGCGATGAATATAATTTACGTAATTTGCATATGTAAACAGCTGATGCGGGGCGTGGTGTATCTGTTTTCCCGATGTTTTCTCGTGCCTCGATAATAGAGAGCCCACGATAATAGAGAGTTCCAGTATACAGCTACACTAGACATCCATGGGGCCTGTGTTTAGTACAGCTACACTAGACACCTATAGGCCCTATGGTTAGGACATTTACACTACACACACATGGGGCTTGTGGTTAGTATAGCCACACTAGACACCCATGGGGCCTGTGGTTAGTACAGCCACACTAGACACCCTTGGGGCCTGTGGTTAGAGCAGCTACACTAGACACCCATGGGGCCTGTGGTTAGTACAGCTACACTAGACACCCATGGGGCCTGTGGTTAGTACAGCTACACTAGACACCCATGGGGCCTGTGGTTAAGACAGCTACACTAGACACCCATGGGGCCTGTGGTTAGTACAGCCACACTAGACACCCATGGGGCCTGTGGTTAAGACAGCTACACTAGACACCCTTGGGGCCTGTGTGGCTACACTAGACACCCAGTTGTTTATCACAGCTACACTAGACACCCATGGGGCCTGTGGTTAGTACAGTGACACTAGACACCTACACTGGGGCCTGTGGTTAAGACAGCTACACTAGACACCCTTTGGGGCCTGTGTTTAGTACAGCCACACTAGACACCCATGGGGCCTGTGGTTAGAACAGCTGCACTAGACACCCATGGGGCCTGTGTTTAGTACAGCTACACTAGACACCCATGGGGCCTGTGGTTAGTACAGCTACACTAGACACCCATGGGGCCTGATGGTTATCACAGCTACACTAGACACCCATGGGGCCTGTGGTTAGTACAGCTACACTAGACACCCATGGGGCCTGTGGTTATCACAGCTACACTAGACACCCATGGGGCCTGTGGTTAGGACAGCTACACTAGACACCCATGGGGCCTGTGGTTAGTACAGCTACACTAGACACCCATGGGGCCTGTGGTTAGTACAGCTACACTAGACACCCATGGGGCCTGTGGTTAGTACAGCCACACTAGACACCCATGGGGCCTGTGGTTAGTACAGCTACACTAGACACCCATGGGGCCTGTGGTTAGTACAGCTACACTAGACACCCATGGGGCCTGTGGTTTATAACAGCTACACTAGACACCCATGGGGCCTGTGGTTAGCACACTACAGCCATGGGGCCTGTGGTTAGACACACCCTTAGACACCCATGGGGCCTGTGTTTAGTACAGCTACACTAGACACCCATGGGGCCTGTTGGTTATCACAGCTACACTAGACACCCATGGGGCCTGTGTTTATGACAGCTACACTAGACACCCATGGGGCCTGTGGTTAGGACAGCTACACTAGACACCCATGGGGCCTGTGGTTAGTACAGCTACACTAGACACCCATGGGGCCTGTGGTTATCACAGCTACACTAGACACCCATGGGGCCTGTGGTTAGTACAGTGACACTAGACACCCATGGGGCCTGTGGTTATAGTACAGCTACACTAGACACCCATGGGGCCTGTGGTTAGTACAGCTACACTAGACACCCATGGGGCCTGTGGTTAGTACAGTGACACTAGACACCCATGGGGCCTGTGGTTAGTACAGCTACACTAGACACCCATGGGGCCTGTGGTTAGTACAGTGACACTAGACACCCATGGGGCCTGTGTTTAGTACAGCTACACTAGACACCCATAGGCCCTATGGTTAGCACAGCTACACTAGACACCCATTGGGCCTGTGGTTAGTAAAGCTACACTAGACACCCATGGGGCCTGTGGTTAGGACAGCTACACTAGACACCCATGGGGCCTGTGGTTAGAGACAGCCACACTAGACACCCATGGGGCCTGTGGTTATAACAGCTGCACTAGACACCCATGGGGCCTGTGTTTAGTACAGCTACACTAGACACCCATAGGCCCTATGGTTAGCACAGCTACACTAGACACCCATGGGGCCTGTGGTTAGTACAGCTACACTAGACACCCATGGGGCCTGTGGTTAGTACAGCTACACTAGACACCCATGGGGCCTGTGGTTAGTAAAGCTACACTAGACACCCATGGGGCCTGTGGTTAGGACATCTACACTAGACACCCATAGGGCCTGTGGTTAGTTCAGCCACACTAGACACCCTTGGTGCCTGTGGTTAAAGCAGCCACACTAGACACGCATTGGGCCTGTGGTTAGTACAGCCACACTAGACACCCTTGGGGCCTGTGGTTAGAGCAGCCACACTAGACACCCATGGGGCCTGTGGTTAGTACAGCTACACTACACACCCATGGGGCCTGTGGTTATAACAGCTACACTAGACACCCATGGGGCCTGTGGTTATAACAGCTGCACTAGACACCCATGGGGCCTGTGGTTATAACAGCTGCACTAGACACCCATGGGGCCTGTGGTTATAACAGCTGCACTAGACACCCATGGGGCCTGTGGTTATAACAGCTGCACTAGACACCCATGGGGCCTGTGGTTAGTACAGCTACACTAGACACCCATGGGGCCTGTGGTTATAACAGCTGCACTAGACACCCATGGGGCCTGTGGTTACACTAGACAGCTGCATACAGACACCACCCATGGGGCCTGTGGTTATAACAGCTGCACTAGACACCCATGGGGACTGTGGTTATAACAGCTGCACTAGACACCCATGGGGCCTGTGGTTATGACAGGCACACTAGACACCCATGGGGCCTGTGGTTAGTACAGCTACACTAAACACCCATGGGGCCTGTGGTTATAACAGCTGCACTAGACACCCATGGGGACTGTGGTTATAACAGCTGCACTAGACACCCATGGTGCCTGTGGTTAGGACAGTCACACTAGACACCCATGGGGGCCTGTGGTTATGACAGGCACACTAGACACCCATGGGGCCTGTGGTTATGACAGGCACACTATACACCCATGGGGCCTGTGGTTATGAAAGGCACACTAGACACCCATGGGGCCTGTGGTTAGTACAGCCACACTAGAAACCCATGGGGCCTGTGGTTATGACAGGCACACTAGACACCCATGGGGCCTGTGGTTAGTACAGCCACACTAGACACCCATGGGGCCTGTGGTTATGACAGGCACACTAGACACCCATAGGGTCTGTGGTTATGACAGGCACACTAGACACCCATGGGCCTGTGGTTAGTACAGCCACACTAGAAACCCATGGGGCCTGTGGTTATGACAGGCACACTAGACACCCATGGGGCCTGTGGTTAGTACAGCCACACTAGACACCCATGGGGCCTGTGGTTATGACAGGCACACTAGACACCCATAGGGCCTGTGGTTAGTACAGCTACACTAGACACCCATGGGGCCTGTGGTTATGACAGGCACACTAGACACCCATGGGGCCTGTGGTTAGGACAGTTGCACTAGACACCCATGGGGCCTGTAGTTAGTACAGCCACACTAGACACCCATGGGGCCTGTGGTTACGACAGCAACACTAGACACCCATGGGGCCTGTGATTATGATAGGCACACTAGACACCCATAGGGCCTGTGGTTAGGACAGCTACACTAGACACCCATGGGGCCTGTGGTTAGGACAGTTGCACTAGACACCCATGGGGCCTGTAGTTAGTACAGCCACACTAGACACCCATGGGGCCTGGGGTTACGACAGCAACACTAGACACCCATGGGGCCTATGGTTAGCACAGCTACACTAGACACCCATGGGGCCTGTGTTTATAACACTAGACACACTAGACACACCACCCATGGGGCCTGTGTTTAGTACAGCTACACTAGACACCCAGACACCCATAGGCCCTATGGTTAGCACAGCTACACTAGACACCCATTGGGCCTGTGGTTAGTATAGCCACACTAGACACCCATGGGGCCTGTGTGGTTAGCCACACTACACACCCATGGGGCCTGTGGTTATGACAGCTACACTAGACACCCATGGGGCCTGTGGTTATGACAGCTACACTAGACACCCATGGGGCCTGTGTTTAGTACAGCTACACTAGACACCCATAGGCCCTATGGTTAGCACAGCTACACTAAACACCCATTGGGCCTGTGGTTAGTATAGCCACACTAGACACCCATGGGGCCTGTGGTTATAACAGCTACACTAGACACCCATGGGGCCTGTGGTTAGGACAGCTATGGTTAGCACACTAGACACCCATTGGGCCACACTAGACCTGTGGTTGGTTATATAGCCACACTAGACACCCATGGGGCCTGTGGTTATAACAGCTGCACTAGACACCCATGGGGCCTGTGGTTAGAACAGCCACACTAGACACCCATGTGGCCTGTGGTTAGGACAGCCACACTAGACACCCATTGGGCCTGTGGTTAGTACAGCCACACTAGACACCCATGGGGCCTGTGGTTAGAACAGCCACACTAGATACCCATGTGGCCTGTGGTTAGGACAGCTACAGGCACACTAGACACCCATGGGGCCTGTGGTTATGACAGGCACACTAGACACCCATGGGGCCTGTGGTTATGACAGGCACACTAGACACCCATGGGGCCTGTGGTTAGAGCAGCCACTGTAGATACATCTGGAGGTCTAGTTGTTTTAGTGGCTTCACTGGCTTTTGCTTTGTCAGAGTTAGAAATAACTGCACTTGTAAAGGTTTAGTTATCTCACTCAAGCATAATAAAGTTTTGTCTTGTTGATGAAACCGGTAACTGGTGAAGATTAAAAACTGATTATCCCATTAATTGTCTCAGTATCCTGTACATATATTTCCTATTCTTATTATATTGATGATTTGTTTTCTGAACAAAAACATAACCCAAGAAAATATGTCTGTACAAATTGTCATGGTAACCTGTCACTAGAGTAAATACTTTATTTTTTTAAATTCTAATCCTAGACACTGGAACGTTGATCTGTAGTCTGTAATCCAGCTGAAGTTCAGTTTGATGAGGGAATGAGAGTTTCCCTAAGGCCATCTCGACACACAAACCTTTGTAAACATAGTCATTAATCTTCAAGTCCAGCTATTAGAAAATGCTGATTCTGCATAGCTAAAAATTCATTTAATCTTCAGAAGGAGTAGAATTTTCTGTCAAAATGACATTTAAAGTTTGATTTCCTCATGGAAGAC